CTACCTGCCCCCAGTCTCCCAGGTCCTCCTCACTCTGGTATAATGCAAGCACCCAACATGGGCCCCCTTCCTCCTGGGATGGTGCCTGTGGGACCTGCTCCCTGGGATGAGGCCACCCTGGAAGACCACATGCCCTTGACGCCCAGGCCTCCAATGATAAGATGGTGCTCACCTGGCATGGCATGACTCAGATAAGGGCAGGGGGTTATCAGGGCTGTGTTTTTCTGTTTCACTAGGAGATATGGGGCTGCATCTGGATGTTTTATAGTGACATGACAAGGAAAACCTCTCCCCCTATCTAGAATAGGGAATAGTTTTAGAGGGGAGAAGAGGGATTTTTTTTTTTTTTTTTTTTGGTTTTGGCTGGCCTCGAACTCACAGAGAGCCGCCTGCCTCTGCCTCCCGAGTGCTGGGATTAAAGGCGTGCGCCACCACCGCCTGGCAAGTAGTTTCATTTGTATTGTGAACTGTGAGAATAAAAATGTTAGCTCTTTTAGTTAAAAAAAAAAAAAAAACTGGCAGAAAAGATACCTCCTTTCTGTCTACAGTTGCTTACTCACTTCTGTTTGTAAATATAACGTCCTTACATCATACATATCTACGTTATGTTCCCTTTTATTAAAGATGGATGGGCTGGTGAGATGGCTCAGCAGGTAAGGACACCTGCTGCCAAGCCTGACCATCTGGATTAGACCCCCAGAAACCATCTGGTGGCACACACCTTTACTCAGCACTCAGGAGGCAGATGCAGATGGATCCTGTGAGTTCCAGGCCAGCCAAGACTATATAATGAGACCCATCTCAAAAACAAAAGCAACTCCATATGGTGGAAGAAGAGAACCAACTCATTCAATAAGTAATCTTCTGACCTATGCACAAACAATAAATAGATATATGAATATAAAATTTAAAGAGTAGACATTCTCTGCTTAAAAATCATATTTGCCCAGGTGGTGGTGGCACATGCCTTTAATCCCAGCACTCGGGAGGCAGAGGCAGGAGGATCTCTGTGAGTTCGAGGCCAGCCTGGTCTACAGAGTGAGTTCCAGGACAGGCTCTAAAGCTACACAGAGAAACCCTGTCTCAAAAAATAAATAAATAAACAAACAAACAAACAAACAAACAAACAAATAAATAAATAAATAATATTTGCGCTCTATGTTTTCATAAGAATCAGACATTTGGGGCTGGAGAGCTGTCTCAGTGGTCAAGAGCGTGTATTGCTCTTTCAGGGGACCTGAGTTCCGATCCGAGCAACCCCCATCAGGCAACTCACAACTAGCTGTAGCTCCAGTTCCAGGGGATCCAACATCTCTAGCCTCTCCAGGCACCTGCACTCAGCTGCACGGGCGCACATAAATGCATACAATAAAAAAGTGATTTGAAGCAGAAGTCACCCTGAGCACATGTTCCCGTCTCACTGACCAGGCTTCTCTCCTGGCACTCCGGCCGGCCAATCACTGCAGAGCCTGTGCTGTCCCACAGCACTCCTGGAAGCACTGCCCACTTCAGGTGCTAAGAGTCATGTTGGCTTTACAGCCCAGACCCTCTCGGGACACTTGAGTATCTGCATCTTACTTAGCCACATATTTCAAATGAAATAAAAGAGACATCTTGCAAACAATCTCTTCTCTGCATTTGGCAAATTTTATCTCTATATAATAAATCAAAGAATCATCTAGAGATAAGCAGTAGGGTCAACATTAGATCCTAAGATACTGCCTATAATATATGCATTTCTTCCTGGCCTGCAATCCCTTATCCTCATCCTTGTGGACCAAGGAAACACCAAACCAGATAACAAATTCCCCAGAAAACCTTCCAGGATTACTTGAAGATTTGATAAAATAGAAGGCATCTAGTCAGGGCATATGATACCAATAAAATTGCTTAGAATGTCCACAATCATACTGAGACTTTTCAAATTATATTTTGATGGTGCTGGCTCAAAACTAGAGCCTTGATTAAACAGGCTAGGCAAGTGCTTTACATCCCCAGCCTTTGGCTTGTTGAGCTATGTATGCACAAAACCTAAGCTGGCCTTCAGTCCAAGGTCCTGTCTTTCCCTCCAGGGTGTTGGCATATCAGGCCTGTACCACTCTGACACTACTTTACCACCACAAGTGACTGAGACATTACTCCTCCCATTGCATGAGCCAATTCCAGTCAATTTCTGTGAAGTAATTGCATTTTTTCTTGTATTCAAATAGTATAAGAAAAATTAGGTGGTGGCACATGCCTTTGATCCCAGTACTCAGGAGCCACAGGCAGGTGGATCTCTGAGTTCAAGGCCAGCTTCATCTACCTGGTCTACAGAGTAAGTTCCAAGACAGCCAGGACTACACAAAGAAACCCTGTCTTGAAAAACAGACAAGAAATGTAATAAATAAAAGCATAAATATTTTTAATAGTAAGTTAATTTTTTTTTTTTTTTTTTTTTTTTTGGAGCCTGGGTTTCTCTGTGTAGCTTTGGAGCCTGTCCTGGAACTCACTCTGTAGCCCAGGCTGGCCTCGACCTCACAGAGATCTGCCTGCCTCTGCCTCCCAAGTGCTGGGATTAAAGGTGTGTACCACCACCATCCGGCGCAAATTAAATTTTAACCCTAATTTTAAATAGTGTGGTTTTAGGTTGTTAAGACACCTTGTTTCCTCATCTGTGTGCATATGGAGGCAAGAGGCCCACATCAGGTATCTTCCTCAGTGCCTCTCCACTTGGTGTGTAAGTGTGTCTGTGTGTGTGTGTGTAAGTGTGTGTGTGTGTGTGTGTGTGTGTGTGTGTGCATACACAAGCCAGGGAACAACTTGTCACAATTCTCTTTCTACCATGTGGATTCCATGTACTGAACACAGATTGTCAGCCTTAACAGCAAGTGCCTTCACCTGCTAAGCTATCTCCCTGACCTTATTTGCTAGTCTAGCACACGGTCTCTCACTAATTGGCTAGGCTGGCCAGCTGGTCAGTGAGGCCTGGGCCTCTGCCTTTCCACACATCACAAGTGCTGGGTTACAAACATGCCTGGCTTTTTCCTGGGTGCTAGGATCCAAACTCAGGTGTTCCCACTTGCACAGCAAGCGTTTTACATAGTGAGCCATCTCCCCAGTCCAACCACTTCATTTCATTTAAGATAATTTTTATTTTATGTGTATGAGTGTTTTTGCCTGCATGTAAGTATAGTGTGTGAGTGCCTGGTGCCCATGAAGACCAGAAGAGGGTGCTGGATCTCCTAGAATTGGAGTGACAGACTGTAGTAAGCTGCCACATGAGTGCTAGGAACCAAACCCAGGCTCTCTACAAGAGCAGCAAGTGCTCTTAACCTCTGAGCCTTCTCTCCAGCACCCCTATTTTTTAAGGCAGGGTCTCTCACTGAACCTGGAGTAAACAGACTGGGTTAGAACGGCTAGCCAGGAAGCCCCAGAGACCCTCCTGTCTGATTCCCCAAGGTCTGGATTGCAGGCACCCGGCATTTACATGGGTTCTGGGGATGGACTCAGGTCCTCAGGCTTGCATGGCAAGCACGTGACCAACTGAGCCATCCCCTCAGCCCCATGCTCTAATCTTCGAAATAGGTAGGTGCTCACTATGGTTTAAAAAATACATTATTTTTAGTTTTTCTTTTCTTCACACTTTGGCACTAGAAGCATTCCTATGACTAATTCTGGGTTTAAATCAGACTAAATTAATATGGCCATTAGCCACATGTGACCACTTTAATCATTTGAAATGTGGCTAGTTGCAGCTAAAAATGTTTTAAATGTAAAATACACATATTTTAAAGACTTTGTGAAAACAATACACTGTATAGTCGTTACATAAATGGTAATACTTTGAATATACTAGTTAGATAATTATAACATCTTACTAAAAAAAAATCACAGAAACCAGCTGGACAGATAGCTTGGTTCTGATCTCCAGCACTCATGAAAAGGCTGGGTATGGCCAGCCACTTCTGTAACCCCAGCACTGGCAGGGCAAAGGCCAGCATCTCTGGAGTTCCTGACTGGCCCAGCCAATCAGTGAGCTCCAGGTTCAGTGAGGGCCCCTATCTGGAAAGAGTTGGAGAGCGATGGTAGTACAAGGCACTAGCATAGACCCCTAGCCTTCATATGCATCACTCACACAAACACACACCACAGCAGGGTGTGGTGGCAGATGCTTGTAATTCTGGCATTTGGGAAGTGGAAGCAGGAGGATCAGGAACTAAAGATCATCCTCAGGTACACAGTGAGTTCAAGGCCAGTGTAGACTACCAGAGATCCTATATCAAAACCGGCGTGGAGATTAGAGAGATGGCTCACGGTTAGGAGCACTTAATGCTCTTTCAGAGGACCTGAGTTCCCAGTACTCACATGGTGGCCTACAACCATTTCAAGTGATCTGGCACCCTATTCTGGCCTCCGCAAGCACCAGGCACCACACTCATACACATAAAAATAAATCTTTTTTAAATTAACTTCACCTGTTACGTTTCCACCTGACAGTTTTCATGAGACAGTCTGATGTATAACTTCGTTCCATTTGGTGAATATACCCTTCACCATAAAGTCGATTCTTTAATGGTGTTTACTCCAGCTAATCTATCCTTCATCTCGCCAACCACCTCATTCTAACGCTCCCAACTTCCACAACGCAGGAAAGCTGTCAAGCACGCTCTCACTCTCCTCAAACAAGGGTCTCACTAGTAGCCCTGGCTGGCTCGGCTGTGCTGGAATTCGCTCTGTAGGCCAGGCTGGCCTCGAACTCTCACAGCTCTCTGTACTACCACGCCCGGCTGCAGCCAATCACTCTTAGAAAAGTCCGGGACGGAGAAAACTCGAAACTTATCTAACTCCAGACACGGAGGAGTCCTGAGGGATTTAAAAACCCAAGGTTTTCACCGGTGTGTGTCCCCACAGCAGAGCCAGCTCTGGGGGAGCCACAGAGCCGCCACCGAGCAGCACCGAGGCGGGGGGCGGGTCTGCGGCTGCAAGCAGGGCAGGGCCGCGCGGTCCCCCAGCTGTACCTTAAGAATCCCCCTCATCTTCGCCAGGAAGGGGCGGAACTCCTCCAGGGGCACTTCCGGGTAGAGCTGGCTGTGCAGCAGCTCCTCGGTGATACCCGCGTGGCCGTGGAAGGCGCTCTGCGCCAGGCCGCTCAGCAGCCCGCTCAGGGACTTGCAGCCCTCCAGCTCGCCCGCCATGGCCAGGGAGAGCCCTCCGCCCAGCGGCGGATCGCGGCTCCGCTACGGCGGCCGAAACGGGCCGGAAAAGCTGGCCAAGGCAGCCACGGAGCGCGAAGCCGCGTTCCTCCACTAGTCAGCATAAGCAGTTCTCGCTCTTGCCCTGCCACACGCATCCACTGCTTCGACCACAGCCAATCCGTTGACTTTCCCTTAGGTCACCGGGCTTTCACTGTGTCCTTTTTCACCCAAAACGGCGCTCAAAGATCGCTTGATGAGATGTATGAGCTATAACTCCGTAACTTGGGTGCCTGTATCTCATTCTAGAGCTTGCCTTGATGTTTGCAGAGACCTCACACAAAGGTGTTTTGTTGTTTGTTTTTTGTATATTTGTTGTTTTGTTTTTGAAATAGAGACTTATTATAGACCCCTGACTGGCCTGGAACTCACTATGTAGACCAGCCTGTCCTCCAACTCACAAATATCTGCCTGTCTCTGCCTCCTGAGTGCTGGGATAAAGGCATGTGCTACCATGCCTGTCTCAAATCAGTTTTTATATCAACATTTCAGACCTAATTTAAGAAATCCTATTGCCATTGTTTGTGCACTGTTAAGTCCTTAACGAAGTGTACATTATCCATGATTTCCTAAAAGGCAACTTCAGAAATGTTTTTGTGAATCCAAGAAAAACAAGTCTAAAGACAAACTATACTTTCGTGTTAAATGTTCCTATAGAGATTGCAAAAGCCAAGTGTGGTGGCAAACACCTTTTAGTCCCCACGTCTAGGAGGCAGAGGCAAGGCCAGCCTGTTCTACATAGTGAGTTCCAGGAAAGCCAGGGGTATATAGAGAAACCCTATCTTAAAACAACAAACAAAAAAGGTTGCAAAGAATGAATAGGAAAGGGTGCAAAAAGGTAGCGAGCTGGACAAAACAGCACTACTAAGCACGTAACTTCCAAATCCTCACCTGAAAGGCCACGGCCAAAGTATTCTCTGTGATGTTTGCCACTGACACACAGAAAAGATTATCTTGCCATGTTTTGTTTTCTCAAGTTTTCATTACATCTACTTCGTGTGTGTGTGTGTGTGTGTGTGTGTGTGTGTGTGTGTGTGTGTGTGTCCCGACATGCCACAGAATCCGTGTGGAGGTTGAAAAACAAATTACAAGAATGGGTTCTCTTCTACCATGTGGACCCCAGAGACTGAACTCTGGTGGTCAAACTTGGTGGGAAATGCCTTTAACCACTGAGCCATCTCTCTGGCTCCATTTCTTTTCATTAAAGATTTGTTTATTTGTGTATGTTCCCTAGAGTATGCATGTGCTCCACCTGCAGGCAGGTGCCTAAGGAAGTCAGAAGAGGGCTTTGGGTCTCCTGGAAATGAAGTTACAGGAGGCTGTGACCCACCGGATGTGCTCTGTAAGAGCAGTCAGGGCCTGAGAGCCATCTCTCCAGCCTGGCCCCATTTCTTAAATTTTGAGAGTGAATACTTACCTGGACATATTTTGACTGCTTACATTCCTACTTATTTGCCCATTTTCTCTAAGGTTCCTGTCATTTCACTGATTGCTAAGAGCTGGTTTTTAGCATTTATTTACTGTGTGTGTGTGTATGTGTATGAGTAGCTGCCACCATATGTGTGTAGAAGTCAGAGGACAACAGTATTGGGAATTTGGTGCTCTCCTTCCCCCATGTGGGGTCCACGATCAAACTCAGGTCATCAGGCTTAGCAGCAGATGCCCTTGCCTGCTGAACCATCAGTGGGTCCAAGAGTTCTTCATATTAAATATTAATGCTGCTCATCTATATTAAAATATATCCCTCAAGTTTCTGTATCTATACTTGAATCTATTAACCTACATAGAAAGTCTGGTAGGTTTTACCAACATGATTATTGTGTATATGTCTCAGCAACTGAGGATTATTTTTATTTTTCTCTTTCGGAAGAATGTCCAGTATACAAATAACACTGTTACTTGGGGAGCTGGAGAGATGATGGTTCTGCAGTTAACAGCGCTTGTGCACAAGCACGAGGACCAAAGTTCACATCCCAACACCCACACAACCAGCCAGGCAACCTGCCCATGCCTACAACCCCAGCTCTGATCAGGGCGAAGCCAGGAAAATAGTTGGGGCTTGCTGGCTTCCAGCCCGGCGGGGTGGGGGTGGGAGATGCAAACTCCAGGTTAAGGGGCAGAAATGTAAGAGGACACCAGATGCCCTCTTCTGGCCTGAGAATGTGCACACCGCTTACACACACACATGCCCGTACACAGACACATATGAACACACACAAATAAATATTTTTTATTGTAATGTAGTATTCCTAAAATCAAAATTACTTTTCTTTCTTCCTTCTGAGTACTTAGGACTGAACCCAAGGCTTTGCATAGGCTAAGCATAGTCTACAGCTGGGCTACAACCCAGCCCTTGGCTTGTTTTTATTTTGTCTATTTTTGAGAGACTTGCTACATGGCTCTTTATGAAGCCCAAGCGTGGGTGAGGGGCTCTTATCTACAGGAGCATATACCACATGAGAGGGCAGAGCAGCTGCATCATTGAAAAGCCCATCATGGCAGAAGAGACAGCTCCAAAGAGCTGCATCCTGGCAACTTCACGCTCAGCCTGAAGACAGCTCCACCGAAGACTTGGTTCAGGATGTAGACCAGTGTCTTTCATAGCGAGCATGAGACTCTGGGTTCAGTTCCCCAGCATCGCCACCAAGAAGGAGGAGGAGGTGGTGGAAGACGAGGAGGAGAAGGAGCAGACAAAGAAGAAGAAAAGAAGAAAGAAAAGGAGGGGGGACGAGGAGGAGAAGGAAGAGGAGGAGGAGCAGATGAAGAAGAAAAGAAAAGGAGGAGGAGGAGGAGGAGGAGGAGGAGGAGGAGGAGGAGGAGGAGGAGCTGCCTCAAGGGTTTTCGGTACGTAGTCTACATTATGGAGGGAAGCTGTGGGCCTCCTGTGATGGTTAATTTAACGTTGATTATCAAGTAGAAAGGCCCCAGGAGACAAGTCCATGGGCATCTCTGTGAGAGACTGTGTAGATTAGGTTAACTGAGGTGAGCGGCACCAGTCAACGGGCTAGAACTCTGAACTAAACAGAAAGGAGAAAATGAGCTGCATACTAGCATTCACCACTCTCTGCTTCCTGGCAGTGGCTGCACAGTGACCCTGCCTCTTGCTCCTGTTCCCAAGACTTCCCAGCCAAGATGGCTGCCCCCTCACCTGTGAGCCAGAACAAACCCTCCCTCTTAAGTGACTTTCGTCAGATACTTTGTCATAGCAAAAAACAACTAGCATAACCACATGACAATTTCAAACTTTGTTTTCATTTCAAACGTTTTTATGTTATAGTATGCTTCCGTCCTTTGCTAAAGCTTCAGATTACCTTCTCTGCAAGCTGTAAACGTCCTTCATGTGGAGTCTACAATCTCTGTGCTACCCCCGTCCGAAGCCTCTCCACAAACCCTGAGAACTTCAAGTTACCACTTCTCCTTGTCTGCTTTGCTTTGGTTTCTTTGAAACTGGGTCTGTACTTAGGCTGCAGCCCAGGATAGCATGAAACTCACCATGTAGACTAAGATGGCCTCACACTCTCCTGCCTCTACCTCCTAAATACTGGGATTACAGCTATGAGCCACCACACACAGCTAGTATAGGATGTGCAATTCAATGGGAAAATGTAAACATTTATTTAATGGTGTGACAGTCCTCATAAGGACCCACAAATTGGCAACCCCTAAATGCTTTCATATTAAGTTGAACAAAGAGATTATGAAAAAGAAACCAAACTCTCTCTCTTTCCCTCTTTTTTTCCTCTCTCTCTCTCTCTCTCTCTCTCTCTCTCTCTCTCTCTCTCTCTCTCTCTCTTTCTCTGTGGAGGAGGCGGGGAAGGAACTTAAGGAAAAAATGGTTATTTTTTTTTATCAAGGTCTGTTTGTACAGAAATTTCTCAGTCTCAACTTCTTGACATTGAAAAGAACCTTTCTTAGTCAGGTGTAGTAGTGCACACCTTTAATCCCAGCACTAGGGAGGCAGAGGCAGGAGGATCTTAGTGAGTTCGAGGCCAGCCTGTCTACAGAGCAAGTTCCAGGACAGCCAGGGCAACACAAAGAAATGCTGTTTCAAAAACAAACAAACAAACAAATAAATAATAATTGAATAGATAGATAGACAGATAGATAGATAGACCCTTTCTGTTATAAAGAGACCATTTCCAAAAGAAGGTTTTATTTCCTGCTTTAATAAAGTAAAATGGTACCGTCTGATAGCCTTTTGGCACCCACTCTTTCTTAATTGCTTTAAACTCAAAATAATCCTTATGCCAAGTGGCATTTGGGGTGGTGGTATATTCTGCCACATACCACTGCACAGAGAACCTTTTCAGCCCGGCCGACCCTAGCTGCAAATCACAAATGATCAATAGAAGACATTCCTTCTTCTGCCACCAGGGGCTGCTATTGCCACAGCTGCTGCTGCAGGTTGGCACCAGCTGCATTTTTAGAATGTTTTTCAAACCAAAGGCTCAAATTACAGTTATCTTTTATTAAATGTCAAATCACAGGTTTTATAGATAGCAGATCTGGGCACAAGGCTGTTTAGGGACTTTTCAAATGCAACAACAGCAAGGAAAAGACTCAGAAGCCCAACTCCAAGGGAAACTTCCAACCCTAACAAACAACCCTCCTATGAACATTTCCCTTTCGTCAGGACCAAATATGCCATTAAAGCCCCAGCGAGCAAATGGTTCCAGGCAGGCAAGTCATGTTTTTATCAACATTGAAAACGCAAACTTGGAGCTGGAGAGATGGCTCAGCAGTTTAGAGCACTCATTGCTCTTACAAAGGGCCCGGATTTGATTCCCAGCACCCACACAGATGGATCCCAACCACCTGTAACCCAGCTCCACAGGTCCCAACGCCCTCTTCTGACCTCCACATATGTGTTGCATATACATACATGCAGGCAAAACATTCACACACATAAAATAAAAATAAATCCTTTTAAAATGTAAACTGGGGGGGGGGCCTCCGTGCTTTTGAGCATTTGCTGTTCTTGCAGAAGAGCCAGGTTCAATTCCCAGCACCCTCATGG